AGCTGTGCAGAATTGGTTAGGTAGGTCCTAAAACGATGGTGAATCACTCATTTCCAACTCGTTTGACTGACTAAATCGTGCTCAAACTGATAGTGGAACACTTCTTCTACACGTATGCATCGGTTGGAACAACCAAAATGCATTGGAAGATGCGTTTCATTAAGGGCAAAGTTGGAAGAAAAACTGTTTTCTGCAGTTTTCCCAGGCGTCTGGCGCCTCCCATGTAAATATTTCCGTCTTTTTGCTTCTTTTGATTAATTTGCACTCCCAGATGGTCCTAAAATGTCATAAATATAATATAAGCCAACCACAAACCATCATTATGAATTTTGCATGAATTGGAACTCAAATGATCGAGAAAAGTCCGAAACAAAGTTAAAACGTAGTAAAAACAGCATCTAAAACCTTCTTTTTACGCATGTAAACAAGCGTAATCAGTAGCTAGTACAAACGACGTGATCCTAATTCGTTCATGTGAAGACATGCGAGTGAGGGCGTCTCGTGTAAAGAGTTTGCATAAGACCGGACCATGAGATAGTCGCTTTTACTTTATAACACCGTTTACTGTCTGAAACTGACTATCTCGACTTTGATGGCCTAGATAACTCGATCTTAATCCTGAGCTAACTATGAACTTTTGTTTACTCGGGATTATCCTTAGATCTACATGGATGAGAGAAGCTCAACAGTGCTGGCTCAATAAGCCTACCATTTCAGGGGTAAGACCAGGTAGATAGCTAGGGACATAGGGTGCAAGAAGGAATTCACTTCTACCCAATTTTGGGATAGTAGAGAGGTTGTTCTCTTAAGGGCTGAATCCAAGTCTTTAATAATTGGCGAAACCCTCATCAAAAGGTTTGAGAGAATTTTTTTATTTGATAGTTGGACTACAAATCATTGTTCATTAGAGGATCAGTGGGACTTAAGGAACAAGAGGTAATTACAGGGGTAAAGTGGTATTTTGACCCAGTTGTAATTACGAACAACCTGTGAAGGGTCGACTTACTGATCATGGTTATATCAAATGGACATAATATATCTACATTGAGGAGAGTGCAGCTACGGGTTTTAGTGGAGTGACCCGGTAGTTAACGAATGTTGGTTAACTAGGTTAAAGAGTTTAACCGGTTAATCTTGGATCGTTGCAACTCATGATCTGTAGGTCCATAAGGTCCCCTGGCTAGCTCATATAGGAATAAACTTGGAATAATTTGAAGGAATAATTCGAATCGTACGAATTAGGTTAATCATATGAGATATGATTAAGTAATTGATATATGATATCAATTTGAGAAATTTGGTCAAAATATTTAAATAGGATTTAAATATTAAAATTATGAATGCAGATTCACAATCGGAGGCATGGATTTCGTCAAACAGTCGGATTTCGAAAAAAGTCAAATAGTTGACTTTGACTCGAGAAAGTCAAAGGTTGACTAAGAAGATTAAAATAATGTTTTTAACCAAGTTGGTGGAAAATTCCACTAAATTGTTGAGTGAAACATTTAAATAATCTAAAAAAAATCCACTTTTTGACACTTAATCATAGCATGCATGAGTGGAATGTGTGTTGTAAGCTTCTGGTGAACTTAGAAATGTATTTTGACACTTAGCCATAGCATGCATGAGTGGAATGTGTCTTGTAAGCTTTTGGTGAACTTAGACATGCATTTTGACACTTAGCCATGCCATGCATGAGTGAAATATGTGTTGTAAGCTTTTGGTGAACTTTGACATGCAAGAGTTGCATGTAATTTACCTATTTAAGAAGGCTTTTGTCCAAACATTAAAATCTCTTGGAACCTTTGGCCATTTGATGTTTTTCAAAAAGCTTACATAACTACTTTTAGCTCCATATTTCTCTCAAATTTTTCTTCTCTAAAAAGAGTCCACCACTCTATTCCAAGCCTTGAGAATAGCTAGGAAGATCTCTTGGATTAGGAAGGGCTAGTAGCCCATGGTTAAGAAGCCCAAGTGAGTAGTACAAGGTTTAAAGGTTTAGGCTAGTGAAAGGGGCTTGAGAAATGAATTTCTAGGAGAAGTTAAGCTTGAGGCTGGGAAGTAGAAGGAAGCTAGAGTTGGACAGAAAATAGCGTCTTCCAGAACGTGAACAAATCTAGGCTGCTTTCATTTCTTTGCTCTAGCTGAAGCACTATAGCAGAATAGGTAAGTTCTAGCATTGATGATCAAGGTAAAGGTTTGAGGCATAGAGATGAATGTTTGAAGTGCAGGTTTCTAACGTTCTTCTTTTGTGAAAAGAGGTAAAAATGTATACTCTTGCTTGAGGATAAGCAAGATTTTAAGTTTGGGGGTGTGATAACTCTCCAAAAGAGAGTTATTCTGGTGTTTATTTGGGTGAACGTGTGCATTAAAATGTCAAAGTGTGTCGGTTTTAGGTCATAATTAGCACAAATAGTGTTTAATTGCAAACTCATAGCTAAACATACTTAGTCTTGAGAACTTTGGCCAAAAACAGTATAAACTCTCGTATTTGTGGTTCTTTTGCACAGGTTTTTAAGGAGGAGCCGAGAAGAGAAAGAAGTGCGGAACCAGAGAGGAAAAGCCAAAGCATTGTCAAGTCGAAGCATATAAAAGCTGGAGCATAGCGATATCAGGGCATGGGTGTCCGTACAGTTAAATCAAAAACACCAGATTCACTTATGTCCGTACAATCTCCAGTCGGGTGCCCTAAAAACGGGATCCGATATTTAAAGGAAAGGTTGCCCTAGCCGACGGGCACGCAGATCCTAAGGGAGGCAAAAGTTGAAAGCTGAAATGACCAAGGGAGGGAATATACCCATTTTCGAGAGGAGAGCTGACTCTAGAAAGGGGAAACTCATCTGCTGCTTTGCGCTGACTGCTTTTCTTCTCTGTCATTTAGCTAAATTTCTGCTATGGGTTGTATTTCTTCTTCTTCCATTTTGTTTTCTACACCCATTATGAGCTAAACCCCATTTCGGGGGAGGTTCACACGCTGTAACTGACTTGAGACCGAATATCTAGCATGCTACATTTATTTTTAAGCAAATCTGAATTTATTTCTCAATTCTTGGCGTTACTGTTGGCTGCTGTTTCGTGTATGCTAGCTCTGTTATTGACCCGGAAGGGCTTGTGGGTGCTGATTTGTTTTTCTTGTGATTAGCCATTTTCTATAGCTATAGGGATACTCAGGAACGAGGTCTCCTAATCATGCCTATAGTTTGGATTTATTGCTTGGGTATTTAGCAACGGAAGTTGTATTTACTCATGTTTGGGGTGTCTCGGAAGGGAACCGAGTCGAACTGGGCACTAATAAATGTTTGCTAAGCTAGAGTATAGGTTGATAACGTGCTAAAGTATGCTGAACTCCCCCGCCACCTTCATATCTTTTAATCCTCTATTATCGCTTTCTGTGCTGCTATTTCCTTGTGTCGAAAGCCTTGAAACTGTTGTCTCTTGCAACGTTGTGTCGTCCTGTTATTCCTTTGTTTTAATTCTTCTATAAAATATTCATACTCAACTCTGTATATTTTTTTTATTGTTGGTATCTACTTTTATCATTAAAATATAAACCCAAAATCCCTGTGGATACGATCTCGTTACGTACTACAATTGACTATTCGAGTCTACTTGCACGCATTGTCGACATAGTTGTGTAGATGCAACATTAGTTCAGCAAAAGGTTTCTAAAACTTTAGATGATAATCCTACTTGTCCTAAAGCTTTAACATCCCTGGAAATTGAAGAATTTAATGAAATCTGTTTTAGTACTATAATATTGTATTTGGCTGACAATGTTTTGCGTGAAGTACATGAAGCCAAGACTGCTAAAGAACTTTGGACCAAATTAGACTCACTTTACCCCACAAAATCATTAACCAATAAGCTTTATATTGAGGAAAAGTTTTTTGGTTTCAAGATGGATGTTAGCAAAGACCTTGAACAAAATTTAGACGAGTTCAACCAGATTGTTCTTGACCTTAGCAATATAGATGAAGTAATGTCTGATGAAAACAAGGACATAATATTGCTTAATTCTCTTCCTAACTCCTACAATAAGGTGAAAACTGCTATAAAATAGGGAAGGGATAGCTTAACATTAGACATTGTGTTAAATCTTTTGAGATCCAGAGATCTGGAAATTAAGAAAAACAAAGCCAAAGACTCGAAGCATTGATGGCTAGGGGTAGAACAGATAAAAAACCAAATAAAAGCAGTAATGGAAACAGATCTAAATCTCAGAGGAAGATTAAGAACTATTTCTATTGTCACAAAGATGGTCATATAAGGAGAAATTGTTTTGAGTTGAAAAACAAGCGGAAAAATGAAAACAAAAGAGATGAAGAGTCATATAATGCAAATGTGACAGGAAATTATGATATTACTGAGGTTTTAACAGTATCTGAAGGGAGTTTTAACTCTGAATGAATCTTAGACTCTAGATGTACTTTCATATGACCCCTAATAAACATTGGTTTAAGAAATTTCAAGAAATTGAAGGAGGAAAAGTGCTACTAGGTAATCACCATGAATGTAGCATTAAAGGGATTGGGAATGTCTTTGTAAAAATGTTTGATAATCAGGTCAGAGAACTTACTTCAGTAAGATATGTGCCATATTTGAAAAGAAACTTAATATCCCTTGGTGTCTTTGATAAGAGTGGCTACATATGCAAACTTGAGAATGAAACAATGAAAATCACTAAGGGAGCAATGGTCAAGGCTAAAGGATATTTACAAAATGGCTTTTATGTTATGGATGGAAATATAATTGTTGGAAGTTTTGCAGTAACCTCTTCAAAAGACCAACAGCAAACAAAAATGTGGCATATGAGGTTAGGCCACATGAGTGAAAGAGGACTAAAAGAGTTGTCTAAGTAAGGACTTCTTGGGAAAACGACTATGGATTCACTTGAAATTTGTGAACACTGTATCTATGGTAAAAAAAAAACTAGATTTTCTTTTAGCAAAGGAAAGCATTGCTCAAGAGGGATTTTGGAGTATGTTCCTGCTGATTTGTGGGGTCCTGAAAAAACATCTACTATGGGGGGAGCAAGGTATTTTTTGTCAATAGTTGATGATTTTTCACGGAAAGTATGGACATATCTACTAAAAACTAAAGATGAAACCTTCAGAAAATTTTTTGAATGAAAAACATTAGTAGAAAAACAGACTGAAAGGAAGGTAAAGAACTTGCGAATTGATAATGGGTTGGAATTCTTAAGTAATGAATTCAAAATTTTATGTGCAAAGGAAGGGATCAATAGGCATCTAACTGTTTGAGGAACTCCACAGCAAAATGGGTTGGCTGAGAGGATGAATCGAACGTGGCTTGAAAAGATAAGATGCTTGATGTCGAATGCTCATTTGCCAAAAAAATTTTGGGGTGAAGCACTGTCAACAACAACTTATTTAGTAAACAGAAGCCCATCCTCTGCTACTGAATTTAAAACACCCATTGAAAAGTGGTTTAAACATCCTCCAGACTTGAATAATCTTAAGATTTTTGGCTGCATTGCTTATGCACACAGTAGAGAGGATAAGTTGGACAATAGAGCCAAGAAGTGTCTATTCTTAGGTTATCCTCATGGTGTCAAAGGTTATAAATTGTGGTGCATTGAAAAAGGTGAAGAAAAATGTATTATAAGTCGGGACGTAATCTTTGATGAGTCTAAAATGGCTTATGAAAATGTAACATCAGAGGATAATCAAGAAAGTGTCACTAGACAAACTTTTGAAATGGAGTTGGAACTTCCAACTGGCAAGACAAATGTTGTTGATCAAGTGCAGAATCTTAATGAACCAGATAATCCTGATGAACCAGACAATGATACTGAACCAGCTGCATAACCTACCATCACTCAGCCTTTACAAGACTACAGTCTTGCTCGGGATAGACAAAGAAGAGTAATACGCCCTCCAGCTAGATATGCTAATGCAGATCTAGTGCACTATGCTTTAGTCACTAATTATAACAAGCTGGAGATGAACCATTAACCTACACAGAGGCTATAAACTCCAAAGAATCAGACAAATGATTGGTAGCAATGGAAGACGAAATGAGTTCTCTTCTTAAAAATGAAACATGGGAATTGGTAAAGAAACCACCTGACCAAAAGCTAGTTGGTTGTAAATGGTCTTCAAATTGAAACAAACTGTTGATCCTTCACAACCAATTCGATATAAGGCAAGGTTGGTTGCAAAAGGCTTTACACAGAAGGAAGGACCAGATTATGAAGAGATATTCTCTCCGATTGTAAGGCACTCCTCAATAAGAATTCTCTTGTCTCTAGTTGCTGCATATGATTTGGAGTTGGAGCAATTAGATGTAAAGACAACATTTTTACTTGGGGATTTGTCGAGAAATTATTTACATGGAACGACCATTTGGATTTATTAAGGAAGGAACTGAAGATCAAATATGTTTGTTAAAAAAGTCTTTATATGGATTGAAACAAGCTTCTATGTAATGGTATCTAAAATTTAACTCATTTATGTTATTATGTGGTTTCTCTAGGAGCATGTTAGACCATTGTATATACTTTAAACATACTAAAGATAAGCTTTCTATATACCTTCTCTCATATGTGGATGACATGCTACTTGCTTGTAGTGACAAATCAGAATTGCTGAAACTTAAAGAAAATCTTAAAGGGGCATTTGAAATGAAAGAGTTAGGTGAAGCTAAAAGAATCCTTGGGATTGATATTAAAAGAAATAGAGCAAAAGGAACTCTATTTCTTTCCCAAGAACAATATGAAAAGCAAAATATTAGTGCTTTGGTGGCTCTTACTCGGTCAAGAAAAAAAATATTCCAGCTCATTATTAATCTACTTGCATTTAGACGAATCAGGTTCTTCCTCTCATGGGTCATAACCCGCAAGTTCGTTACTGCCACTGTACAAGGTTGTTTCGAGTGCAGGGGAGAGTGTAAGAGTGGCCCGAAGAGCGATTCTCTATAATAGCACGAAGGCCTTTTTTCTTCATAATAAGGTAAAGTGTTTAAAGAAGAAGCTATATTTTCTTTGTTTTATAGGCTAGAATATTGATGAATTGATTGCTGTGGGAGTTGCCTCAATTTCTCTTGTTAGGGGAAGATAAAAATGGAATGGACCAAACCACAAAGAAGAGATTGGGTCGAGGGAGAAGCGCATGAACCATGTAAGCACCAGACCAACTGGATTGACTAGGGCTGACTTGCTCGGCACTGAGGTGTTCTCGACCAATGACTGAGATGTTGGATGTGTTGCCCTAAACTCGTAGTTTGTATTTTGTAGAAACAAATGTCTATTTAATAAAGTTTTATTCAATAAATTTGTTGTTGAATCATAGCTTTGCATTGTCCAAAATCCAATAAACTAAACATCCAAGGTTATTTTTTATGTAATCGGGACTGTATATATACTGGGTATATAGTTGATATACGGGGTATATATTTGATATACCCCTCATATATGAATGGATAATGTCCCGTGAATAACCTAAAGGGTCTATAGTATATGGATAAGGTTGGATACCTTATCCTGACAACACTATGGATACGGCCCACTCTGTAAAGGTTACAGACGACTTGATCCAGGTCGTTCGTGTGGAGACATGCGAGTGGGGGTATCCTATACAATGAGTTTGTATAAGACCGGACCACGAAATAGGCAATATTTAGATGTAACACCGTTAACTAATAGGTTGCTATTTCTTAGGATGACCAGGCAACTCATTCTCAATCCTTAGTGAGTTATGGACTCCTGCCCGTGAGGGCTCGTGCTTTGATCTGTATGGGTGAGAGTGGCCCGAGACGCCGACTCAACATTCCTATCATTTTGGGGACGAGACCAAGTGGGGAGCTGGGAACATAACTTCACAAGATGAAATTCACTCCTCCCCGACTTTAGGGGAGTAGATGAGTGTTCCCTTAAATACTGACTTCGGGACTTGAACAAGGGGCCCCACCCTCTCATTGGCCGAGAGGGACTTCCGGTTATTGGTTGGACCATAACTGGGTTGTTCATTAGAGGAGCAGTGGTGTTTAAGGAGTAAGATGTAACTCAGG